TTAGCCAATTGAATAGTTGTGACTGGTACCTCAGAGTTGTTTTAATTTGCATTTCTTTAATCAGTAGTGATTTAGAGCTTTTTTTCATATGACTACAGATAGCTTTGATTTCTTCATCTGAAAACTGCATGTTCATATTCTTTGACCATTTATCAATTGAGGAATGATCCACATTCTTATAAATTAGACTCAGTTCACTATATATTTTAGAAATGAGGCCTTTATCAGAAACACTGGCAGTAAAAATTGTTTCTCAGCTCCCTGCTTTCCTTCTAATTTTGGTTGCATTGGTTTTGTTTGTGCAAAACCTTTTTTAAATTAATGTAATCAAAACTATCCATTTTGTATTTCATAATGTTCTCTGTCTCCTGCTTGGTCATAAATTCTTCTCTTCTCCATAGATATGACAGGTAAACTATTCCTTGTTCTCCTAATTTCCTTATAGTATCACCTCTTATGTCTAAATAATGTACCCATTTTGACCTTCTCTTGGTATATGGTGTAAGATTTTGGTCTATGCCTAGTTTCTGCCATACTATTTTTCAGTTTTCCCAGCAATTTTTGTCAAAGACCCCAGAAGGTGGGGTCTTTGGGTTTATCAAACAGTAGATTACTATCCTCATTGACTACTGTCTTGTGTACCTAATCTATTCCACTGATCCATTACTCTATTTCTTAGCCAGTACCAAACAGTTTTAGATCTGGTATTGCTAGGCCACCTTTATTTGCATTTTTTTAAATTAATTCCCTTGATATTCTTGATCTTTTGTTCTTCCAGATGAATTTTGTTATTTTTTCTAGCTCTATAAAATAATTTTTTGGTAGTTTGATTGGTATGGTACTGAATAAGTAAATTAACTTAGGTGGAATTGTTATTTTTATTATATTAGCTTGACCTACCCATGAGCAACTGATACTTTTCCAATTATTTAGATCTGACTTCATTTGTGTGAAAAGCATTTTGTAAGTGTGTTCATATAGTTCCTGGGTTTGTCTTGGCAGGTATCTGACAAGTTCTTAAAAGAAGAATTGCAAAGTATCCACAATCACGTGAAAGAATGCTCCTAATTGCTAATAATATGAGGAATACAAATGAAAATAACCCTAACATTTCACTTCACAGTCTTCAAGTTGGCAAAGATGACAAAAATACCAATAGTCAATGTTAAGGGGTCTGTGGGATGATAGGCACACTAATATATTGTTGGTGGAGCTTCAACATGGAGAGGCTGTTCTGGAAAGCAATTTGGAATTATATATATAAAATATGCTTGACAAGTTTCTGTACCCTTTGAACGAGAAACCTTATTACTGAACTTATGTGATATGAAACTATTGATAAAAAGGAAAGCCTCAACACATGCCAAAATATTTATAGGAGCACTTTTTTTGTAATAGAAAAGAATTAAAAAACAAAGTAGATGCTCACTAACTCTGGTATGGCTAAACAAATTGTGGAACTTAAATGTAATGGAATATTGTTATACTGTAAGAAAATTATGTATATGTCACACACAGAAGCATAGATAGAACCCTTGTGATACCATACAGCAGTGGCATAAGTGCCACCACTGGTAGGGAATACTTTCCTTACTTTCCCATTTTGGTGACTGAATGGAGGACAGACTGGACTGGGGAAAGACTTGTGGAAGGAAGAAAACAGCAGGTTATTACAATAGTCCAGTCATGAAGAAGTAAAGACCTGCACTATAAGAGGAGGGAAAGGGGAATAATGGTGGATGCAGCCTCCGCTTCCACACAGAAAGTGTCTGATCAATAAATCTACACGATATGATGACTCATAGGGTCTCCTGCACTCATCAGATCTGAGAGGCACAGAGTCCACATTGGGCCTTGTTCAGGAAGCTGCCAGAGAAGCTGTGGCCAATCAGGTTTCATGGGGTTATAGGGTGGGGAGGAAGCTTTACCAGGGAAGCTACTAGGGACACTGGGCCAAAGGAAGTTGTGTGGGGGGAAGAAGCTGCGTCAGGGTAAGGAGAACTGGGTCAGGAAACTGATGTCTACCACATGCCACCTCTTGCTGGCAAGGTCCTAAAGACATTCTACAGGACCTTCCACCATTTAAATAAACTAGAGTCTTACTGTCATGCTTGCTACTAAGAGAAGGGAAAAAAAGGCGGTGGCGGGGTGGGGGGAAAGCAAAACAAAAACATGGAGGAATACAGAAATATCACAAGTCCTAAGCCTTTCCTTCCTCCTTCAAAAAGACTAACTCTCAAAGTCTCATATTCTGGTCCTGTAATGGACAATACCATATCTTTGGAACACAGATGATAGTATCTCAGTGTAGTCACAGACTTCCCTTGATGTAAGTTGGCAGAGCAGCTCCAAGAACATCAGAGCCTCCACATGAACACTTCTATGACGGTCAACTTTCTTCATCCTGAATCAGGATAATCTGTGGTAAAGTAGCTAAGAAGTCATGTCTTTTGGGATATAAGTTGATACAGAGGCTCTCCTTGTACCACTACCCAATCAAACCTCCCCCTCCCTGAGGCCTTCATCAGGGGAATGATACAAAATCTTTGCTCCCTTAGAGGCCTGTAAAGGGCTGCTCCCTTATTCACCAGCACCTAAATAAGTATTCTCCCTCAACCTTATCCAGTGACTTAGAATTACCACCAAGTCAACTAAGGTATCTTACTTTTTCTAGGTAAAAATACACACTCATTGTAATTATACAGCAAAAATTTCAACTCCCCCATGCTATTAGAAAGCAAGACACTTCCAAAAAATACCCCAAGCCTTTTGTGGGAAGGAGTTCTTTGAACTATCCCAAAGGAAAGGAAGTCTACTAATTGATGGGCACGTGAGCTACTTCTCTAGAGTATATGGAGCCCTCTGAGGACAAAAACACTGAGACTAAGGAAGAGCCAGAGAACATCAGCCAGAGCTATATCCCAAAACATTCTTATCAGCTAAATATTTCTGGAGTCTGTATTCAAGAAACTATTGCAAGACGGAGCCCTTTCTCTTTCCATAGTAGCATCTACTTGTCATGAACACGGCTTCTTGGAGGTCGAGCACTTGACCTGAGCAGTCAGATGCATAATGATTCAACTGTTCTTCAGTGCAATCTTCTCATCCTCTCATAAGAAAGTTCCATTTTGTCATTTAGGGACAGATTGAGGGCCACTTGGATCAACTGTCTTGTCCTTAGTGAAAGGAATCATAATTCTGTGCCCAGAACATGTATCACCACCCAAATGTCTAAATTAATACTGGACCCACCTCCCAATCTGTTACTTTTGTAACAACTCCAACCTGGTTTTTTAGCACATGTATCTGATGGGTGCTGACATGCCCCACAAACAGACCTCAAAGGAAATGTTACTGAGTAATAGTGGTAAGGGGAGAACCTGGAAGAGGCAATGAGGAACAAGGAGTATTCCAATTCTTCCACCTCAAATAGTGAGTTGAGGGAAATGAGTCCAAGTGCATCCAGTACTGAAAAGAGTGGCCAGGGAGGCTATGCCCCTGGGGGGGTGGGGTGTGGAGTGGGGGGAAGCAAGGACTCAGTGAGAGGTAGAGGATGAAAGGTGTGGCAAAGCAAAAGATCTGAGATGAAAGCAAGTTTCACCAGCTTTCCAGCCTGGCACGGTGAGCTTTTGGCTGGGACTTTGGGGTGAGTGGGTTGAGGGTGACAGGAGTAAGGAATTGGATAGCAGTAAGAGAATGATGACCTACAGAGGTCCAGAATCACTAGGATGTGTAAGGTATAAGTAGGTGAGAGTTTGTTAATCATTAAGCGAAGAACATCATCCTTCTTTCAGTAGAAATTAAAGAGGAGACTCCACCCACACAGGATGGAAGGAGCACAGCCTGATGGAAGGCCCTCTGATGGAAGGCCCCAACATACTTTTTTATACTCCTTCTAGTGGTTGGAGATCAGGCAGCAGTTGGGAGCCCCAAGATGGAAAGCCAACTCTCCTTTTCCTATAGGAGACATGAGCAGCACAGGTTGAAAGGTGCGTGATTGGGAAGGGGGCAGAGAAGACCCCCTCTCCCCAAATTCTCCTCTTCTCTTCCCTCTGGAAGCTGGAAATGAGGCACACAGCTGAAGATGGAAAGCATGCAGTGAGATGAAAGATATCCTTCCCCCTTCCTTTTAGAGACACCTCCTTACACTCTTGGTAAAGGCTGAAAATCAGGCAGGACATAGGTGCTACAAGATGGAAGGCTGCCTCTCCTCTTCCCACAGGAGACATGCACAGCAAGAGAGAAGCTTGCCTCCTCTCTTCTTCCTATGTATAAATGATACCTATTCCTCCGAGACCATTCACTAGCCAACAACGGCACTCAGGTAGTCACAGCAGGCACTTCCCACCCCATTTCATTCAACTGTTATTGTTTTCCATAAATGGCGGGTTGTTTATTTACTAAATCAAGCTACCTCACTTCACATAAAGTGATAAAATATCCAATCAATCAATTTCAACCATAGGCTTTAGACAGCATGCAGGAAGTTATTGGATATTGCACATAGACTGTCAGGATAAAAGCAGAAGAAATTTGGTCATGCTGCAAGCACCATTTATAAATTAACAAGCTAATGTAAGGATGCGTGTGAGAGTTGGGGGGGGAGGGGTGGAAGCATTGATTTGTTTTTGCCCAAGTGGATTATGTCTGTCTATAAGTGTCTAACAAAAAGTGGCTCAAAGGGAGGAAAGAACAGACATCTCTATCATCTCCTCCTCTATCCTTCTCCAAGGGAGACTTTGATTCCTGCCAGGAGGGCAAGTAAGAGGTCGGAGCCACAGGTTGGCCCCCAACTCTCCTTAGAGAGAGAGAGTATCAGGCTAGAATTATATCTGGTCTCTTAACTATTACTAGACTTAGAAATGTAATATTTAGGTTCAAGCTAAACTCCTGGTCACTATTCCTTAACGAGGAAGGAGGGTCCCAAGCTTTATATTCAAGGCTTGACTCTCATACCACCAAATGCCAGCTTCACACTGAAAACACAGAGAAAACAGCCCCCAAAAAGCATTTATTCAGAAAAAAAATTGAAATCAGAAAAAGTATATATGAGAATACATACCAGACATTACACAGAGTAAATGAGTTTTCCTACTGGAAGTAAGATAATTTTATCTAAGAGAGTATCAAATCTTATCCAAGGGGAAATTCTTTTGAAGTCTCTAATGTAGCAAGCTGGGAATAGGGCTATGTTTGCAGTTCTACATGTCAGCCTGTTCCCAAAATCTTTCTCCTTCATTGGACCTGAAGACAGGTTGTAATCCTGCATCTTCTCTCTCCATGCTGGAAGCCAGAAGAATCCAGATCTTTCTTCTCTCCTCTGTTCCTTATTCACATCTGGGGAACGAGTCTCAGACAACTGGCATTTTGACTCAAGGGTTTTACTAGTTTAAAACAGGAGTCATTCAAGGCACTGTAATAAGTATGACATTCCAGGAAAATCCTTAAGGAGGAAACACCAGAAGAGGAAAGAGAAGTCTTGGCTATGGTCTTAGCACAGGTCTCCTTCCTCTCTTCTCCACCCAGATTTTGGCCAGAAAAGGAATATGGGCAATCATTGTATACAGTAGAAACCAATGACATACTTGATAAAGATATAAATTCATGACACCATGAAGTGGCCAGCAAAGAAACTTAAGGCCTAAGCTTAAGGTCCAAGGTAATTTTTTGATCATCCCATAAATGGAAGAAAAGGACTTCCAGAAGGAACTGCGATTTGATCTCTAAGCTTTGGTACATTTTCCTTTGCTTCTGTATATACTTCTGGGGCTAGGGGTGTTTGTTTTGCACCAACTAAACCGCTGTAGTAAATGCACATTTATAAAAGTCATTTATGGCTTGGGTGACTAAATTATCTTTCTAATCTGATAATCTTGGGGGGAGCACACTGGTAGGAGCTCTATCCCAGACTTCTCTGGGGGGTACCCCCGGAATCCTAAGGGGGGGATGTAGCTCTGGACATTCATCTGTGAGAGGAATGGATGTGATAAGCACCCTCAAAGCTGAGAAGGGAGACATCTCAACAACAGAGGGCCTCCGGCAAGAACATAGACAGCAAACAAACAGGACAACCTCGCTTGGGGTCAGCTCTGCGCATGCTCCGGGAGGACGAGGAAGCGCGCGCTCGAGGGCCAGACGAGCTCGAGACTGAGAGCGCCCGAAGCTACGCATGCGCGGCGCGGCTCTGCAGTCATGACCCAGGTGGGCTGGGCCCCGCCACGTTTTTCTACTCCATTACACCGACACGTGGGACAGGGTGCTTTCCAGGAGGTATACGAACCGGCCGAAGACACGTTCTTGTTGCTGGATGCACTGGAGGCACAAGCCGAGGAGCTCATGGGGTGAGAGGGTGGGAACGAAGCGGGGGACAGGAAGGAGGAGGAGAAGGAAAGGGAAGAGAAAGAAGCGATCATCACTCTGAGGGAGGGGCGAGCGGGGCAAGCCGCTGTGTTGGACAGGAAGGGGCGGTGCCGGAAGGCGGTGCCAGAGGGCGGCAGGAAGTACGTGTTCTGCTGCCGTGTTATCGTCTTTATCGCACTCAATGCTGGCGCTGGGAAAGTACTGATTTTGCCCAAGTCGGAAGTGCGTCTTTGGCTCCTGAAGTCTTTTTGTTCAGGCGTTTTTTCTTTCGTGTCCAGCTCTTTGGTCATGACCCCATATGAGATTTTTCTTGGCAAAGACACTGGAGTGGTTTGTCATTTCCTTTTCCAGCTCTTTTTACAGATGAGGAACTGAAGCAAAGAGCTTTTTTTCTTTCCTTTTTTTTTTTAATTTTAAGCGTAATTTAGCTCCCTCTTCAACTAACAGAAATCATGACTGGGGATTTATTTTTGGTGTCAGAACCAATCTAATGATATGATGGGAGTGGCAGTATGCCAAAAAACCAAACATACAAAAACTGGAGTTGCTTGTGTAAATAATACTTTGTTAAAGGGTTTTAGGATCGAGCTTTGTTTTGTGAAATGTTGAGATATTTACGGTTAGCCTCATTGAAAAGCCCACTTTCAGCCCGCACAAGTCATCTTCCTTAGTACGTTAATCTTTCTTCTAAAGCACTTTCTAATGATGTGGTTTTTTTGTTTGTTTGTTTTTTGGCTCTCTGAGACTTCATTTAATGACAATAACTAGAACTTATATAGTGCTTTAGTGTTTTCAAGGCACTTTACATTTATCTCATTTGATCCTCAACAATCTTAGGAAGGTGCTGTTATCCCCATTTTATGTATTTTAATATCAATTTTATTTTCAGTTCCAAATTCTCACCTTCCCCTGTCCATTAAGAAGACAAGAAAATAAAAAGATTTGTTACAAGCATGCATTTGTGAAAAACATTTCCACATCATCCAAAAATATACTTAAATCTGCAATCTGAATCTATCAGTTCTCCATCTCTAGAGGAATAGCATATTTTCATCATAAAGCCTTTGGGATTATACTGGGTCATTGTGTTAATCAAAATTGCTAATCTTATATTGCTGTTTCTCTGTAAATTGTTGTCCTAGTTCTGTTCACCTCACTTGGCATCTGTTCATATAAGTCTTTACCGTAGTTTTTCTGAAACCATCTCTTTCATTTCAGTTCAGTATCATTGTATCACATTCATATATTTTATATATATATATATATATATACACACACACAGGTATATATACATATGTATGTATGTATGTGTATACTATAACTTGTTTATTCAATCCTCAATTGATGGTCATCATCTCAGTTCCTAGTTTCTTGCCATCACAAAAAAAGCAGCTATAAAGATCTTTGTATACATGGGTTCTTTTCTTCTTTCTTTTATCCCTTTGGGGTACAGATCTAGTAGTGTTATTGCTGGCTCAAAGGGTATACACACTTTAATAGCTTTTGGGGCGTATCGTTTCCAGAATGGTTGGACTAGGTCACAGCTCCACCAGCAGTGCATTAGCTATCTACTTTTCCACACTTCCTCCAGCATTTGTCATTTTCTTTTTCTGTCATGTTAGCCAATCTGATAGGTGTGAAGTAGTACCTCAGTGTTGTTTTAATTTGGATTTCCTTAATTATTAGTGATTTATAGCATTTTTAATATGATTTGATAGCTTAATTTTTTTCTCTTAAAACTGCCTATTCATTTCCTTTGATCATTTACCAATTGGGGGATAGCTGTTTAGCTCAGTTTCCTATTTATTTTAAAAATTAGACCTTTATCAGAAACTTGCTGTAAAGATTTCCCCCCGTTTTCTGATTTTCTTCCAATTTTAGCTGCATTGGTTTTGCTTGTACAGATAATTTTAATTTTATGTAATCAAAATTATCCATTTTATCTCATCTGAACCTCTATCTCATGTGGTCATAACCTCTTCCCCATTCATAGATCTTACAGGTAATATCTTCCATGCCTCGCTATTTTTGTTTTTTTATGATTTGGGCCTTTATGTCTAAATCATGTACCCACTTTCAGTTCATTTCACTAAACTTCTATTAGGAACCTACCAGGTACAAGGTATTGGAGATACAAATAAGAAAAGGAAATAGTTCCTGTAGTCAAGAAGCTTAAATCTTGTGGGAAGGGAGGGTTGGAGACTATACTGAAGAAAGCTGAAAAGAGATCCCAGAACTTATCTTGGAATATGGTTTATGTCTACTTTTTGCCAGACTACTTTCTAGTTTTCCTAACAGTTTTTATTAAATGTGAGCCCTTGCCACAATAGGTGGGATCTTTGGACTCATCATACACAGAGTTACTGCGCTCATTTGCTTCTGTATATCATGTACCTAATCTGTTCCATTGTTCAACCATTCTATTTCTTTTTTCTCTTTCTTAAAAATTTATTTAGCATTGTATTTTTCCCCAGTTACATGTAAAAACAAATTTTTCTGCAGTTACATGTAAAAACAATTTTTAACATTCGTTTTAAAACATCTCTCCCTTCCTCTCTACCCCCCCACTGAGAAAGCAAGCAATTTGATATAAGTTATACAGAGTTATGCAAAGCAGTTCTATATTAGTCATGTTGTGAAAGAAAACATAGAGGGGCAGCTAGGTGGCGCGGTGGATAAAGCACCAGCCCTGAAGTCAGGAGGACCTGAGCTCAAATCCAGCCTCACTAGCTGTGTGACCCTGGGCAAGTCACTTAACCCCAATTGCCTTTAAAAAAAAGAAAGAAAACATAGATAAAAACAACCTCAAGAAAAATAGAGAAAGTAAAAAAGTATGCTTCAATATGTTTTCAGACACCATTAGTTTTTTGTCTGGGGATGGATAGCATTTTTCATCATAAGTTCTTTAAAGTTGTCTTGGATCATTGTACTGCTGAAAATAGCTATCATTCACAGCTGATCATCTTACAATATTGCTGTTACTTTGTATACAGTACATTTCACTTTGCATCAGCTTATGTAAATCTTTCCAGATTTTTCTGAAAGCATCTTGCACATCATTTCTTATAGCACAATAGTATTCTATCACAGTCACACAGCACAGTTTGTTCAGCCATTCTCTAATTGATGGGCATCCTCCAAGTTTCCAACTTCCTGCCAACAGAAAAGAGCTGTTATAAATATTTCCATACATATAGGTCCTTTTCCCTTTTGTTTTTTATTTCTTTTTGGATATAGACCTACTAGGGGCACTGGTAGGTCAAAGTGTATGCACGGTTTTATAGCTCTTTGGGCATAGTTCCAAATTGCTTTACAGAATGATAGAATCAGTTTAGAACTCTACCAACAGTGCATTAATGTCTCATTTTTACCACATCCCCTCCAACATTTGTCATTCTCCTTTTGTGTCCTATTAGCCAATCTAATAGGTATGAGGCAGTACCTCAGAATTGTTTCAATTGTGATTCTTCCAATCAGTAGCAATTTAGAGTACTTTCTCATATGGCTATGGATAATTTTGATTACTTCATCTGAAAACTGTTCATACCTCATGATTATTTATCAATTGGGGAATGGCTCCTATTTTTCTAAATTTGACTCAGTTCTCTACATATTTGATATCAATGTTTTATCAGTGTTGTAGGACTTTGAGCTGTGGAATACTTTAGTCTCTGAAAAATTTTTTAAATGAGTATCACTTAAATGTCAATGGAGAGGTAGACAGTGGGTGTGAGTAGGCTGCGCCATACCACATATTAGGAACTATGAAAAAAACAAAAACAACAGAATAAAATATATCAGAGAAATGTATGATTGACACTGAGACGTCACTTCACACCCTTCTTTTTTGGCACCAAAGTGATTTTCCTAAAGTGCTAGTCTGATCATGTCATCCCTCTACTCAATAAACTCCAGTGATTTCTTATTGCCTCCATCTCTACATATTTGAGAAAGTTATCAGAGAAACTTGCTTCAAAATTTTTTTCAGTTATGATTGCTAATATTATTTCCCTATCTCCACCCCTGTTTGTTTTATTCTCTCTCCTTTCACCCTATCCCTTCTCAAAAGTGTTATGATTCTGACTTAAAACCTTCTCCAATCATCCCTCCCTTCTGTCACCTCCCTTCTCTTATCCCTTTCCCCTCCTAGTTTCCTATAGGGTGAGATAGATTTCTATACCCAATTGAATGGGCCAATTTTGAGCCAATTCCAATAAGAGTAAGGCTCAAGCATTTCCTACCACCTCCTCCAGCTTCCCCTCGCTGTAAAAGCTTTTTCTTGTCTTTTTTATGTGAGATAATTTACCCCATTCTACCTCTACCTTTCCCTTTCTCCCAGTGCATTCCTCTTTCTCACCCCTAATTTTATTTTTTGAGATATTATCCCTTCATATTCAACTCACAGTGTGCCCTTTGTCTATATATACTCCTTCTAACTGCCCTAATAATGAGAAAGTTCTTAGAGTTACAAGTATCATCTTCCCATATAGGAATGGAAACAAACAGTTTAACCTTATTAAATCCCTTATGATTTTCCTTTTTCTTTTTACCTTTTTATGCTCTCTTGAGTCTTGTATTTGAAAGTCAAATTTTCTATTCATCTCTGGTCATTTCATCAAGAATGCTTGAAAGTTCTCTCTTTCATTGAATTTTTTTTTCATTCAGTATTTTTTCCCTTGAAGTATTATACTCAGTTTACTGGGTAGATGATTCTTAGTTGTAATCTTAGCTTCTTTGTCCTCTGGAATATCATATTCCCAGCCCTCCTATTCTTTAATGTAGAAGCTGCTAAATCTGGTGTTATCCTGACTATGGCTCCATGATATTTGAATTGTTTCTTTCTGGCTACTTGCAGTATTCTGTCCTTGACCTGAGAGCTCTGGAATTTGACTATAATATTCCTGGGAGGAGCTTTCATTTTGGGCTGTCTTTCAGGAGGTGATCAGTGGATTCTTTTAATTTCTATTTTACTCTCTTATTC